TGCGCGCAGCCACGTTGTTCAGGTATCCAAGGACCGGAGCTGCCGCGGGTGCAGCCACCTCTGGCCCGGGCCGGGGTTTCCGGGGGATAGAGAAGCTCTTTTGGAAAAAAAGAAGCTTTAGGCTTTAAAACAATTTCTTCTGACATAATTTTTTTTTTTTTTTTTTTTTATGAGCCTGAGAGTTGCGGGACAGCATGGAAACACAGGTTTTGAGTGGCAAACTGCAGCTGCTAGCACGATGTAGGAACTGTGAAGCTGGAGGTGGTAGCTACGCTAGGCAGAATTCAGTGAGTGTCCTAGTCCCTTCTGACTGTACATTTAAACATGGCACTGGGGGGATCAGGACAAGCATAGAGTAAGCATATTACGCGCTTGGTGGAGGAGAGGCAGATGTCCTGTACACTGTACATCACATGTCTCAGTGAAATCATCTCTCTGGGTCTCGGTAGGAAAGACCTGCTCTGAGACCGGGATTCACAAAAGAACTAACTTTAAAAAAAAAAAAAAAGAACAACAACGAACCTGCACTGGCAGCAGGTCGGTGGCATAATCCCCCGTTAAGGAGGTGACCCCTCCGCTGAGCAACGCGCATCTGCATGTGCCGAATCTGCTTGTTTCAGCAGTTAGGAAAGTCTAATCCTGGCTTATGTCTGCACAGTGCTTCCTGACATGGGGGTTTGCGGTGGCTGCTGCGGTTCCTTATGACCATGTTTTACATTCTTCGAGGCGGGGAATTTCCATGCAGTGCTCACTCCCAATTTAAAGAGGACAGTATTCCAGAAAATGGGCTGATTTTTTTTCTAATGCATACTGTGAAAGAAAAGAAATACAATTACCAATCTTTATGGTTCTTCAGGGTCCTTGTTTTCTGTTTGTTTGTTGTTTTTTTTTTCTCCTGAATTATTAGCACAAATCTTTGCACAGAACAGACATCCCCACAAATAACCCTTTCCTCTTCCAAACCAGCAGCCACATCCTATGCAAACGGGTTCCTGCTTCCCCTGAGTCCTACGGGGGCTCTTTGCTTGAGCGGTTTGCAGGTGGCCCTTTGCTTGCAGCCCTGCAGCTCAGGACCTTGGGGAGGTGAGCCGGGGAGGGGTTTGCTCTGCCCCCTCGCAGGAAGCCTAGCAAGATGCTGCTCCCTTGCAGTGCAGGCCATTGCCCTCCATGCTTCATGCAGGTGGTTTTAAAGGAAAGGGAGAGGAGAAGCTGCACCTAGCGAGCCCCCTCCCCAGGAGCCCCCACTGCCCCGCACCTGCAGGCCGGGCCGCCCTGCCTTCGCTTGGCTTGTAATGGGTGGTCAAAGGAGACGGCAACGGGAAGGACCCGCGGTCCAGCTGCCAGGCAGCCCCCCTAGGTGTGATACGCGTGGGCTGAGCCTGGGAGCACGCGGGCCTGCAGAGGGAAAGCCTGGAAAGGACTCTGCGCCACCTCGTCACGTTGTTGGGCACCTCGAAGTGCTCTCTCCTGCTCTCCTGCCCTCTGCCTCGCCAGGTAGGCAGCTCCCCGGCCCTCCAGAGACGTTCGGGCTCTCTGCAAACGCTAGCTCTCGTGGGCGGAGGTTTTGCCACCTGCTGCGCACTAATGGGCGGGAGAGGGGCTCAGCACTTTTCCCAACCAGCCGCTAGCTTTCCCACCAGCAACCTACCTATTTAACACACTTTAACTAGCCTGATTGGGGCCAGGTGCCTGGCGCAGGCTTGGCCCCGGGCCCTTTTATTTCGCTTACTGGAATGACCAGGCCTTTATTACTTGCCGGGAAGAACTGTGAGGCGTGTCCTTTGGGCAGTTTGAGAAGGAAAAGGTTACTTTGCTTAAACATTAAACACTGACTTAAATCCAACAGTGACAGCAATTCGCAAATATACGGGGATTTCCTTATGCCACACATTTCACACAGCTCGGTCTCGCCGTCCCCTCGGTGCGCCGGCGTTGCGACTCCCGCAGAGGATCAGTCAAGTGCGCCGTCCGCAGCAAGGAGCTGGTGTCTTGGAGGGGGGGCGAGCAGCGGTTCCCAGACGCGCGGCAGCTCGCGCCCGCTGCTGCGCGGTCTCTCCGGCCAGGCCTCCTCTCCTGCAGCAGCGCCCGCCGCGGTCAGCAATTGCTGCTGTTTCTGAATTCTCCGTTCTCTGTAATCTGCAATTTAGTTGGGTTTGTGGGGGAGATCCCGTTACGTGTCTGCATGCTGTACCTCTCTTTCAGCTGAGTAAGGGCACTCATTAACCGTGCGTTGGCCGCATCCAGTGAAGCAATGCGTTTCTCCTGCGAGCAAACAGAAAGGGGGGAGCTTTCAGTGCAAACGCCGGCACCCACTGCGTCCCTGCCACCGCGTGGCTTGGCAGAGCGGGGCAAAGCCGGGGCCCGGTGCTGGTTCAGTGAGCCCAGGAGGGGTGTAGCTCCAGACACCGGTTCAAGGGGAGACTGAGCGAATGGGGCCAGTTCAGGCCAAACACCTCTCCTCCCTGCACTAGTGACAAGCCATCGGTGACAGCGCTAAACACGTGGCCTCGGGGACTGATGCGCTGAGCTTCTAACTGGGGAGCCCCGTCTCCGCCCTGCTCTCTAGACACCTGCTGGCTCCTGCCATTGCTACGGTGCCACTGGGACTCGTACGGGCTACCTGAAGGCTGCCTGTAGCACAGAGCCATCCTCCATCGCCCCAATTCTGTGGTGCTGGACTGAGCCAAGGGCCGTCGGCCCCTGACACGGGCTACTGCAGCCCTCTCCAGCCTCCGCCCATGTCCCGGGAAGCGGTCTGTAGCAAAGCTGACTCCTGCAGTTAGTTGGCTTGTTTTGTTGGGTGCACCTTGTGACAGACGGGTGTCCCCTGGCCTGGTGACAGACCGTGGCAGTGAAAACCTTGCCTGCTGGCCTGGAAGAGGGAGCTCAGTGCCACTAAATGGTCTGTCAGGTGCGTCTGTCCCATCGCGACCCTCGATGGAAACCGAGCAGCCGTGATGGCCAGGCTACTGCAGGGCCTCGCTGGGGCTGCCAAGCTCCCTGCTTGCCCTCCTAGGGTGAGTGGGTTCCTCTCCCGGCCCCTTGGCCAGCCCCTAAAGCCCCACGGGGGCTCGTTCATTATGTGCTAGCTGACCCCGAACCAAGCAGATAAAGCCGTTTCTACCGTTCTTCCACTATGCAGAAAGGCACCGACCGAGCAGTCGTGAGTCCCCCAAAGAGCAGCAGTCATGGCAAGGACACAATGCATGCTCCGAAACCCAGTTCTCCCCCTTGCATGCAAACGGCAGCGCCAAACTGTTCTTTTTTTCCTTGCAAGTAGCTCATTAAAATAAACTCGGCCACCTCCCAGGGCAAGAGGGGTGCCAGGTGTCTGGCTCTCACCAACTGCAGAGGTATGTGCTGACTTTAGGACCCTGCAAAGGTATGACAAGGACTCGTGGCTGGCACTGCAGCCCTGGCCCTGTCCAACACAGGTGCGTTACTTTCCTTTCCTGTCTCAGTTTCCCCCGCTGCAGAATGGGGATAAAAATCTAGCTCAAGCACACGCTGAGCAGACACAAAAATACTGTTTGCAAAGAGATTCAAACGCCTTATTTGCTGCGCACAGGCCATGTCTGGTTTGCTCTGCAGAGACCCCAGTAGGTTAGAGACACGGGGACTCGCTTTGCCAGCACAGCAGACACTCACCCCTTCCGGGCTGGCTTCACTCTGCTGCTCTCGCCCCCTTGGTAGCCCAGGGGTTCGAATAGTCTTTTGGACTGCCTCGGTAGGGGTTTACATTTCACTTGCCAAAGCTGGCGTCCCGCAGCCCCCCACAGCTGGGCCTGTTTTCCACTTGTGAGTCTGGGGCACCACGTTCGGGGTTTCTGAAGGGTCCCCAAACACGGATGGGGGGCTCAAGGCAGAGTGACACGAGGCTCTGTGGCAACCGCTGTCACTTTAACCATCGCCGCTTGTCAAGGTAAGACGGCGATTCTACCATCGGCCTGACCCAGGGCCGAGCACGGGCCGTGGATCCGTTTCGCATTCGCACGCAGCTCGCTAAAACGGCAAGAAAGGACCCCGTCGGATGGGGCCTTGCTGACTCGCATCTTTCCTCCCCGAATTCTGCGGGTCGCACCAACGCTTTGACATCCCCCCCCACGCCTTCCCGGCCTGCTCCGTCACGGGCTGCCATCTGTCTGAGGCACCCAAAGGCACCTCCGTCAGCAGTCCTGCGGCACAGTGCCACGGCCAGCCGGAGCAAAGCAAGGCGCTCGTTGCTGGAGGAGCTTACCTGGAGTTCGGGAGGGCTAAGCAACATGCCTACGCAGCCTCAGAAACAGCCGACCACAAGCAGACCTGCTGCCCACGTGGCCCGGGAGGAAGCCGGCGCTCTCACTTCCCTGCTCAGCCTCCAGGACCGAGTCCTGCGGCAGCTAGCTCTGCTCTCATACCTCCTTCCCTTGCCCTGCTAGTCTCTCCTGACCCTGATAACCAAGAAGCAGAGGCTTTTTCCAGGCCGTGTCAGTCTGATCTGCCTGCACATCTCCTGCCTAAAAAAGCCTCAGCTGTCGAGTGAAGGTTTGCAATACTGAGCAAGGTTAGCACTTGGCTTTCCATGCAGCATCTCTATCGGTACCTCGGTGAGAGAAGAAATACTTGCAGGTGCTGATGAAGTACAGACTTGGTCCCAGTCTGACGTAGCTGGGCCCAGCCCTACGCTCAGACCTCCACCCTGGCCCATGCGCTGGACCACCCTACCTCAGCCCATCAGACGCAGGCAAGCGGCTGGTTTGCAGGCTGCAGCCGACACATCTGTGCCAGCTGTGAGCAGACTCCCCGCTCTGTTCACACACTGGCCGTTCACACTGATTTACAAGTGCTGAACAAACCACTCTAGCGATTGCTTCCTTCTTACAGCTCTCCCTGCTGTCACCTTTTCCATGAGTTGCACAATACGCCCGTCAGGAATGGCGACTGAGCCGCTCAGCTACAACACTGGTACCTGGGTGCACACTGTCAGGCCACGAGGACCCTGATCACGGCTTGTGCGACCTGCGGATTCAGGCCAGATTCAGCCTCCGTTTCTCTGCTTTACGTCCTCCTGCTTGTTCGCAGCAGTAAGTAATGATGCACAAGAGGGGCTACAAAGCTGGAAGCTGACAGCCGTGTCAGCTAGAGAACTAACTTCTAACATTTGTGCCTGGGAAAGGATTTGCTGCCAACAAATTGTATTTGCTGCCAACAAATGGGAGCCATGTAGGTAAGAGCCCCACGCCGGCAGATTTTCCCCACAGTCCATTGGGAAGTCTCTGCACACAGCTGGATCCCACACCCAGCCCGCTAAGGCAACCGCCTGCCTTTAGCCTCATCCAGAGCCTTGCCCTTACACCCATCTCCCTCTGCTCCAGATGTGCACCCACAATGAGACTCTGAATGGAGAGGGAACATCTGGACCATAGTCCTCCTCTACACAGGTACTCTAGGGCCACCAATTTTTTAAAGGGTGCCTTGCTACACAGATGGAAGAACTGACTTTTAATGCCCCCTGCGATTTCTCCTGCAGAGAGATCCCTCTGCATCTGCCGCTGGGCTTTGATTATACTAACATCTGAGAGTCGGGGCAGCAGTGCCATCTTGTCTGCACACAAGAGAGGATCAGGAGGAGATGGGCTTTCAGCACTAATACTCAGTGCTGTTGCTTTGGTGGGTTTAAATCCTATCCGTCTAAGGCTACGGCAATGCTGAGATGCTCCTCTAATCCTCTAGATCCATTTCGGCCTGTGGTGTCAGAGGGGGGGTGGGCGCATCACTGCTAACAAGACAGTAATCCTGGCATGACCATAAAAACCCCACAGCCGAGCCCCTTTGTACCCGGGGGAACATGAAGGCAACCACGTCCCCTGGGCTGCAATGCAGCGCGTGTGCGGAGCCCCGCATCTTCCCTCCAGCCCCCCCGAGCTGGGCAGGAAGCGCAGACTGGGCACATCTCACCTTGTCTGGGCCTGGACAAGCTGGGTTTTCCTGAGCGGGAGGATGTGTCGGTGGCTTCGGAGGAGAAACCCAGCAAAGGTGCTGGTGCCCTGAGGGCTGGGACGGGTTTGAGCAGACTGCTGGAGCCTCAGGGAAAACTCAGTTTGCGGGTGACTGCTTCAGGGTGGATGCTGAACCAGGAGCCACAGAGAAGGAGCCCACACGCGTGCGGGCATCCCTGCTGGGAAGCAGGGCTTCGTGGCTGTCAAGCCCAGGCCCCTGTTCCCTCCTCAGTGGACTCTGTCCCACCCCCCAAATCCCATGGCCTGGTCCCCTGCCTGCCACCTGTCCCTGACACAGAGCAGATTCAGGCAGGACACCAGGAAAGCCTCCCTGCCGGTGTAGCTGGACTAGCTCACCGAGGGAGGTGGGGATCTCCATCCCATGTGAACGGTAACAGCAGGAAGCTGGGTGTAGCTGAATCCTGTCCTTGAGGGGGGTCACGGACCAACTGACCTCTCATGATCCCTTCCAGTCCCATGCCATCTTTTCCACTCCCCCCTTGCATGTCCCGCTCTCCTGTCCCTCTTAGATCTATTTTCCTTCTGCCCCCCACTCCCCATCCTTTCCGTCTCTCTTTCACAGCCCTGTGTGAAAGCAAATCCATCATGATGATCAGTGCATCATGCTGCAGTCCACCCCGGGGTCAGCTCGAGCACCAGCGTAGCACAGTGCAGCCACAGCCACGGCCTGGGCAGAGCGCGGCCCCTCTGGTTAGCGACCGGGGGCTCATACGTGGAGGACACGTGTGCTGTGGCGTGGTGCTGGGGGCAGCACGTACCTGTGCATCGATAATCTTCTGCTTGGAGTCCACGGCTGCCTGCATTTCTGCATGATCTTTCTTTAGTTCCTCCTCCACCGACATCAATCTGGCAACAAGAGAAAGGCGCGAGCTGTCAGCATCCGCGGGGCAGGCAGCGAGCACAGCTCCCTGCTGCAGCTTGGGCCAGACAGGGAGCCCTGGAGGCCGAAACATCCCCTTTGCACCCAAATCAAGCAAAACCCGGGTGGCAGCAGCACCACTGCCACCAGCACGCCCTGCACCTGCCTCGGGGGACAGGTCAGCCAGCTCAGGCTCCTTTCCCTCTGGCAGCATCTGCAATACAGCTGTGGGTCTACCAGAAACCAGGCTCAGCCCCACCAGCTCAACTCACAGGCCCCTCAGCTGTCAGCTGGTACCGGCTTCATTTTACCGTCACCCCAGGCTGGGGTTGAGCTACGAAGCCCCGGCCCCGCAGGTAATGGCTGTAGCAGCACAGCACTGGGCTTTGCTCGCCCCCATCTCAGTGCCACGGTGCATGTTACACCTAGCACACGCTAAATGCACTTAAAATGTGAGCAGGAAGACGTGTGCCAAGTGTGCTCATGTTGTAAAGCGGGGCTGTTAGTCTGGTACAACCATAAACCAGCCTCCCGGGGTGAAGGGTATATATTACTTCCTTGCTCAACACCAAAGGAAGCAAATCTCTACCCGGAAAACAGGCGGTGTGCAAGGCTGAGACAGGGCAGGGGAGGGCCACTGTGCTGCACCTCCCTCCCCAAGGGGGTAGAGCTGCCCAACACTTTCCTTGGGCATCACAAAGCACCAGAGACCCAGGGGACCCGGACCTGCGCCTTTCTGGTCGGGGAAGGACAGGCACAACCGCCTGCCCGGGGACGCTTGCTAGCTAAAGCAAGCAACAGATGCACCCAGCCATTTCAACGCTGCCGTCTCCTGTTCTGCTCTGAACTGGTCAAGAGGGCCGGGGGGGGAGGGAGAGTCAAAGCGACCGATTGCAAGAGCAGAGCTGGTCAAGCTGCTCCAGTGCCTGGCACCGGGATGCTGGTGCCCATGTACCTGTGGGCTGGGGACATGCGGGAGGCAGACAGGCTATTTATGGCGTCGTCAGGGAGCTTGCAGGGGACAGCAGTGGTGAGCGGCCCGCAAAACACTGACTACAAGGACGAGCTAGTGGTGTCACTCAGGCTACTGAAAGTGTGCCCGGGCAAACAGTAGAAAACCGTACTGCCATGGGCCCCGGGGAGCTCGGCTGTCTCCAGCTTCGAGTACTGTTCAATGGACCGTGAGATCTACTGATGTCTTTGTCCCACCAGCGGGTGCACAGAGCAGCACCCTGCGAGTCTGCAGCCTGGGAAGCCCAGACGGGCCTGGGGACCAGACCAAGGGGGCTCTGATCCAGTGCTTGGGACACGCTCCAGCGTCTCTGAAATGCACCCCTGGGCCAGCACGCAGCACGTGGAGCTCACGCCCTTCCCTGCTTATTCTTTCCTGGATCCTCGGCTCAGGGCCCGCTGCTCCTCCCTGGACAAGAAAGGTCCTAGGTGCTGCACCGGGGATGGGATGGCGCAGCAGGAAGCTGCAGGGCACTGCTCGACCCTCCATCTCCTCCCCGGGAATGCGGCTGCATTGCTTGGGAAAGGCCCGGGACGGGTTTGTAATAAACCACGTCACACGGCACTTCGCAGCCGGCCTCCACCGAGGGCTGGCTCCACCTTGGCCAGGGGCTCTGCCACGAACGGAGGATACCAGCCTACTGCTGCTACCAGCCGAGAGTCCATCCTTCAGCCCAACAGGCCGGTGCTGATGGCGCTTGCATGATAAGGCTTTGTTCAGGAGAGCCCCGCCTCGAAGGTGACACTGGCCCTGAGGGGACCCAGGCTCCCAGCCCCAGGGAAGCGGCTGCAGCCCTACCCCACCCCCCACACCGGGTTCAGCCGCCCCAAATGAAAACTACCCCCCCGC